CTATGGTTGGAGGGGAAAAGGAGTTGGGAAGATTCCTGCGGGGGAGATGATTGATGAAAGGGTCTCTATTCCCGTCAGGTCAGGTTACATTTCCGAAAACAGGGTACAGTTGTTGAGAAAAGTAGTCACAGCAGGGTATGTGTGTATGTGTTTGCGTCCTATTTATTTTGACGACAGTCTCCTCATGTTTCGTGGTGCGACGTGTACCACACTTTTCAGCGTATGTAGAGTACGACACTTTTTTTCAGTGTATTTTTTCGTACAACCACAACCATCCAGGGTCACACAGGAGGGGGTAAACACCAGGGCTTTTTTCTTCTAGTTTTTTCTTTTCATGCCCCACCTTCCTCCTGCGGTGCGTACTGAATTTTATTTTTATCGCGAGAAGGGTCCAGCCGTCCCGTTCCCTCGTCAACGGTGCTAACGTCGAAGTTTGGTACTCACGAGAGCTTTTTAGCTATATTTCGTTTTCACCCGCAAATTTCGTAAACTTTTCACCCCATGGGGATTCGAACTCACGACCTCTGCGACTAGCGGATTACGGGGATACCACTAGACCACCGGGGCGACCGGCTTAGGGTTAGGGTTAGGATATTTCCTGCGCCTGTTCGGGCGCACCGGGGTAAAATTGGGCGCTGAGCAATGACATGAGTGCATTTACCGCTGTTAATGACTGTGTACCCAGATGTGGCGCTTTTCGACCAGGGTATACCCTGTTGTGTCGTTTTCCCTTCTTATTATGGAGGTGTATCACATCACCCTCTTCTATTCCACCCCCTTTTATACCATAACGAACACTCATTTTGACTTTGAGTCTGGGCTCCTTTGTCCATATACTTCGAACATTTAGAAATACGGCTCTCAAAAAATGCGGCACAATCTAAAGTCCTAACACTGCTGGTGTGGTGTGGTCCGGCAGACGGTTTGAATTTGGATTCTCCCCACCCCCCTACGAATGAAGAATATGTAAAAGGCAGGTATGCTTGGTTTCCGTGCCCCCGCAGCAGTTTGATTCCTGCGTGTCGAGAGCGACAGCATGATGACACAGCATGATGACACGAATTCGAGGAGAAAGAGAGAGACGCACACAGAGAGGGAGAGAGAGCCATACACATACACACAGAGCGAGACGCACGTGCAGCAACTGCACTTGCCGTAGGTTATGTGTGCGCCTATCTATGACGCTTGGAGGAGAGGGTTGATATTTGGACAGGTATTATAGTAGTAGTCCTGTGCTGCTGCTGCTGCTGTAATACAAATACATGCAGCTGCTACGCTATTATACCATGTTGGCTGCTGGCAGTTCGTGGGTCCTTCAAGTTCCATGCTAGAGGTGACGTAGGAAGCGTCTGTGGTGGATGACACCAAGTAGTAATAGCCATGCAGGTGAGCAGGCTGGTGCATTGGCTGTTTGTGTGTTCGTGCTGCTGCTGTGTTGCTTGCTGCTGCTGCTTGCTGCTTGCTGCTGCTGAAGTGTTGTAAAGGCGTTTTGGTTTCCGGGGACGCACCTCCCGCAGCCCAGGTCACAAAGAAGCGACATACATATCCGTAGGTGTTGCCCCCACCCCCCGCCCCCCCTGTTTGAAGTTTTTCATACGTCCGGGGAATGCAGTTGTGCCGTGCCCCAGCAGCAGCAGGAGTTTGAATCTCGAGCAAGTCCGAGTGGAGTGGAGAGACACAGCGTGAATTCGAGCAGAAATAGAGATAGAGACAGACAGAGGGAGATACGTGCAGGAAGTGCTGTGATGACAACGCCTTATGCTGTGTGTGCGTCTGTGATGGGTGGTTGTACCTGTCCATGTACACGCAACGAGGAGAGGGTACATCCACGCTGCTCTGTGGTTCCTAA